CGACAAGCGAGCGTGATGGATGGTGCAGCATCGGAGTAGAACACTCCAACTTCTTCACCGGGTGCAACAAAATGTCTAAAAGCTAAAACACAATCTTTGGCATGACTTCGAGCTGAAGGATAAATCCATCGAAAATTGGTAGCGACATCTTTCATGACCATAGCAACCCTGTCACCATCAATAGATTGTTCATTGGCATCCCTAGTCACGAGATGATCCCCAGTAATGTGATCCCCGAACTTGTTGGATTCCACAGTCAGTGATTCACCCTTACTACGTTTAGTTGGTTTGTACATTTTAGCACATTTGCATGTTTCGCAGAAGGGGTTCTTTGGGGTGTGTGTCATCATGTGCCTAAGGGTCCTGGCCTCTTCGCGAAGTGCAGCTTCACCACGATCAACGGCTTTTGGTTCAGGTAGTTGGAGACGACCGTCAACTGTTTCTTCAGGAGCTTCGCCTTCGTCTTCCGAACCTTCCTTGACATCAGGCGTCATGGCCGCAGGAGGTCCTGGAGCAAGTTCACCAGGAAAGAACTCCTCAAGATCGTCGTTGACTTGTCCAGGAACTTCATCGTCATCGGCGATGGAAGCCTCATAAGGTTCTTCGACCTCTTCGACTTCGTCCTCAGACTCAGTGCCAACGGCTGACATGCGAGACCTTCGAACAGGTGAGATGATGGGCTTGCCGTTCCCGGCAGCGGAGTCCCATGAAAACGGAATCCCTACTGCAGCGGGTACTTGGCCATCTCTGGATGGTAGATAAGGAACATGTAACATAATCTTTAACTTCAAGTTTGATCTTGCTTCCATCTTTCTTCTTGAAATATGGGCGACTAAAACTTTTCCAAACAAAATCCCATCCATCTTGAATACATCTCATCCCTACCGATATTACAGCCGGGGTATCAGGAAGAACATAAGGATGAACTTCTTTGTCGATGCAATCAATATGAACGGAAGCTTGTTGGTCAACTGATTGAGATCCATTTGCAGTGATTAATTCAAGGGGTTCATGAGAGTGATACACAACTTCTTCGGGAATCATCTTGCTGCAAACCAAGTCCTGTGCACTACCAGTGTCTGCAATCCATGCAATCTCAGCGGATGCATTACGCTGCTGGGACGGCATGTCCTGGCAGGGCATTCAGGTCGGAACGGATGCAATGGCGACAGCCGATATCACTGTCACATTCAAAGCTGCATTTGCAAGATTTCCCACGCAACTCCCGAAAGACAGCTGATTGCAACATCTGTGCTGCAAGTATGGCATCACTTTCTCTTGCCTCGATCGTATCTTTACGAGTACGATCGCCCTTTGTGATGCGAACTGGATCGTGAGTTCGATGTTTGGCTTGGCATGGATTCAAATTACAATTTTGCTCAATGGGAACTTCGAAGATTTCATCGTCGCCCCCAAATGAAACAGTGCGATTGGTTGTAACTGGCATGGCAAAATGCTAGTTGAAAAAGTGCGGAGAGGCGATGCCTTCCAGCACGCGATGAGTACTGGTCGAAGGATTGACGACTGCGACCATCATCAGAGCGCGCATCAGGCAAACTGCAGCTGAGCCAGAGGAAGATGGTTTTCCCCCTTTGTCCTTAAGACTCTGAGAGCCCCTCGAGGAGTTGGAACCTCGGTTTGACGACCTAGAGCGGTCGCCCTTCTTCTTGTTCTTCTTTTTCTTCTTGTTCTGGCTCTTTCCATGCTTGTCATCTTTGGTAGATGGCGCTGCAGGCTTTGGAGGGTGTTGGAAAGCACAGTCATTACCTCGTTGACACTTACCTGCCTTCCAAAACTTACACACTTGGTTCCTAGATCCTGGAGACAACGATCGACTGTTGCCTCTTGACTTGGATCTGGACTTGCCTTTCTTGCCTCCGTCTTTCCCTTTGTCAGACTTTTCATGTTTATAACGGCAATCCTTTCCCCTCGTGCACTTGCCAGCCTGGAAGTCATAGCAAATGCCAGTGGGGTTGCCCGCAGACGAAGGTCTGGTGGGCGCAGGTGTGGCGTCTCTCTTGCCTGAAACTGACTTCTTGGTCGCCTGTCGCATCTTTTCAAGACGTCTTCTCTCAAGGTAATCCCTAGCAGCTTTCATGAGAAACTCATAAGAGCGGTTGGGTTCCCCCTCCGGTGTGCGATCATACACGGCCAGATCATGAGAAAGAGGTTTGAAGGTCTTGATGGCGTTGTGAAAGTATGCTTGCTTCCACATCATGTCAGGCTCGGAAGTCATTCCAGCGATCACAGCGTCCCATCGGGTGATGAAACCTCTGAGATCATCATTGACTAAGGTAACAGCCATGAGGTCCTCGATGTCATACACTGCACCATGTTTCCTACTCGTGCTAAAGTGGTTGTGAATCATGAGCAACGCTTGACGTCCCCTAGCTGGTGTCCCTGACTTGGCCTGCTCTTCTTTAAAGATGTCAAGTTGCCGTGCAAAGTCCCCTTCGCAGATGTTGGTGAGCGAAGACATGAGCTTTGCGTCAAGGGTCAGGAACTTACCTGAGTCCTTCAAGGCTTCGACAGACTGATCTGTCTTGAAAACTTCTTCAACCCATTGGAAGTCTAGATCAGGTTTAGCTGAAGTTGCTATGATGGTATCCCTTACTCGAATTCTCCAATTCCTATAATTTTCGGGTTGAGGGAACTTAGGAACTAGGATCCTATCAGACTCTTTGGCCTTGTTCTCAGTAGCCCTAGAATGTTCTCAGGCCCTCTTGACCTTTTGTGCAAAGGAACTCTCAGAATCCGAACTTGACGTGGTAGGCGATGAAGACGATGAAGGAGAGGAAGATGGATCCCGACGACGTCGGCGTCTGGATCGGCCGCGACTTGTTTTGGGACCTTTCTTCTTGTCCTTCTTGTTCTTGCGATCTTTCCTGCCGTTGATGTCATCATCATCGTCATCCGAAGGTCCACCACCAGGCAGTCCTGGCGGCTTCAAAGGGTCTGCCAAGAAGTGCTCATCATCTGCATAAGATGAGTGCTTCGGTTTCTTGTCACCTGAACCAAGCTCTTCAATGGTTGGTCTCGATGACTGCGATGTCTTCTGAATGGGAGGTCCTGGTCCATAATGGATTTCAAGTCCAGGATTTCCCTCCAGAGGTTGAGACTTCAAATTTCGGATTAATTGTTTCTGTTCTTTCCGAAACTTTTCAATCTCTGCCTCAAAGTCCTTCTTTTGAGACCTGCAGATCAGCATTCGACTTCTCTGCAGACGATGTCAAGACACCTGCACTGTTGACGACGTGGGTCAGTTCGGCACTCAATTCCTTGATGCGATGATCCTGCGCTTGAACCTGCAGATGAGCAGATTTCTGCTCACTCATCGCCTGGGCGGCTTGCTCATTCAACAAAAGGTTCTTCCTGGAAATCTCGTCGGCTGCTCGCTGTTCGATGCTTGCACGTTGATCTCGAGCTTCACTCACAAGCGCATTCCTTTGACGTTCCATGACCTCAGAGTGAAGTGCATTGTGGCCTCGCTCTGAAATGCCTGCTGTTGTGCAGCCATCAGTTGACTTGCCACGTTTGGGTCAACACCTTGCTGTACCACTGCCACGTGGGCGGTACGGTGATCAATGTTGTTGAAATTGATGGTGTTGAGCTGACTGATATCAATGCTTGCATCCAAAACACCTGGCATGTCTCTGCGTGGATCATAACCGCATGGGTCAAAGTCCTCTTCCTGGTAACTCATGTCACCTTCTGTTGCTGCCGCGCTTGAACGGATTACCACTTCCTCCGGTTGTGTAGTGTTCACCAGTGCCAATGCAGCCGTGGCGTTCCCGCCCGGGGCAGGGAGCGCTGGGGGTGTGGACATGGCGAATACTAGGAGGGAAATGCGAAAAGTGTGAGACAAAGGAAATCAACCAATCACCTTTGGCGATACGGCTGATAACTTGTAGAAACGGTTAAACAACCGGTAAAGACCACAAACAAACTACACTGCGATACGCACTATTTCTTGAGCCGTAGCACACAAACAGTAGAGGTGAAAAGACTAATATATACACTAGGACTGTGCAACAACATTTTGGATCCTTCGGGTCATAAAAACAAATCTGCCGCCTTGATGTTAGCTACCCAAAAGGACACCTTTCTTGATCCTCTTGGAAAGTGGGTTTGGCACATTGTGAACGGTGTTGGGAAAGTTGCTAAGAAACATTACCACAGCTGCCAGACAGATCCTCAAAGAAACAACGCTTATCCCGAGCCCACGGTCTGGAACCATACCGCCATCACAGGATCCTGCGATTTTTGTTGGAAAGAATTGGTTGGACAATTGTTGACCTTAACCAACTTGAGATCGAGTCACCTGGCGGAACCTTTCTATTGACCGACTTCAGCAATTGATTTCCCAATAAAGTTTTAGGACATACCGTCTGCATGCGTGTGGTTTCTTCTTTACCTTCTAGTTATGAAACAGGAACGGTCCCGTTGCAATCTGAAATCGATATTTTTTCTTTCGCCCGTCCGAGTCAGTGACTACGGTCCCTTCAGGACACGGGGAGGAAACGCGAAACGAAGAAACGAAACGAATCAAAGCCATAAGTTTACAATGCAAACGTTTCACGACAAAACTTGTGTGATGCCTGTTTTACTTGTTACTGGACAAACATGGCTTTATGTTCGAGTGGAATTGAAAGACACGATATATTTTCTTTAAAATGGGAATCGCCTTTTTGACCCCTGCATTTTGCTTTGGAGCATTCTTTGGAACATGTTTTGAAGCATTAAATTCGCGTCCACAATCTGGAAACGCTGTGCGTGTCAACGGCTTTGGTGTTCAGAGTTTGGAAACGTTCCATTTCTTGACAAGTGTGGTGTTGCGAAGCTGGAAACGTTGTACCTGTCAACGGATTTCGTGTTCAGTGTCCCGAAACGTTGCGCCTGTCAGCGGATTTGGTGTTCAGTGTCTCGAAACGTTGCGCCTGTCAGCGGATTTGGTGTTCAGTGTCTCGAAACGTTGCGCCTGTCAGCGGATTTGGTGTTCAATGTCTCGAAACGTTGTGCCTGTCAGCGGATTTGACGTTCAGAATCTGGAAACGGTGTGCCTGTCAGCGGATTTGGTGTTCAGGATCTGGAAACGTTGCGCCTGTCAGCGGATTTGGTGTTCAATGTCTCGAAACGTTGCGCCTGTCAGCGGATTTGGTGTTCAGTGTCTCGAAACGTTGCGCTTGTCAACGGATTTGGTGTTCAGTGTCTCGAAACGTTGCGCCTGTCAACAGATTTGGTGTTCGCCTGTCAGCGGATTTGGTGTTCAGTGTCTCGAAACGTTGCGCTTGTCAGCGGATTTGGTGTTCAGTGTCTCGAAACGTTGCGCCTGTCAGCGGATTTGGTGTTCAGTGTCTCGAAACGTTGCGCTTGTCAGCGGATTTCGTGTTCAGTGTCTCGAAACGTTGCGCCTGTCAGCGGATTTGGTGTTCAGTGTCTCGAAACGTTGCGCCTGTCAGCGGATTTGGTGTTCAGTGTCTCGAAACGTTGCGCCTGTCAGCGGATTTGGTGTTCAGTGTCTCGAAACGTTGCGCTTGTCAGCGGATTTGGTGTTCAGTGTCTCGAAACGTTACGCCTGTCAGCGGATTTGGCGTTCAGTGTCTCGAAACGTTGCGCCTGTCAGCGGGTTTGGCGTTCAGTGTCTCGAAACGTTGCGCCTGTCAGCAGATTTGGTGTTCAGTGTCTCGAAACGCTGTCCCTGTCAGCAGATTTAGCGTTCAGAATCTGGAAACGTTGTGCGTGTCAGCGGATTTGGTGCTCAGAATTTGAAAACGTTGCATTTTTTAGCGAATTTCGCGTTGCGAGGCTCGAAACGCCGTTCCGCCTGTCAAAAGATTTGGTGTTCAATGACTCGAAACGCTGTGCCTGTCAACGGATTTGGCGTTCAGAATCTGGAAACGTTGCGCCTGTCAGCGGATGTGGTGTTCAGAATTTGGAAACGCTGCGTTTCGCGTTGCTTAGCGAGTTTGATGTTGCGAGGGTGGAAACGCTATGCCTTTCAACGGATTTGGTGTTCAATGTCTCGAAACGCTGTGCCTGTCAACGGATTTGGCGTTCAGAATCTGGAATCGTTGCGCCTGTCAACGAATTTGGAGTTCAGAATCTGAAAAAGTTGTGAGTGTCAACAGATTTGGTGTTCAAAGTTGGGAAACGTTGTGCCTGTCAGCGGATTTAGTGTTCAGAATCTGGAAACGTTGTCCCTGTCAGCCGATGTAGTGTTCAGAGTTTGGGAACGTTGCGTTTCTCACAGTTTCTTAGTGAATTTGGCGTTGCGAGGCTCGAAACGCTGTGCCTGTCAACGGATTTGGTGTTCAATGTCTCGAAACGTTGTGCCTGTCAGCGGATTTGGTGTTCAGAATCTGGAAACGTTGCGCCTGTCAGCGGATTTGGTGTTCAAAATTTGAAAACGTTGCGTTTCTTGGCGAATTTGGCGTCCGAGGGTTGGAAACCCTATGCGTGTCAACGGATTTCGTGTTCCGAGTTTGGAAACACTCTGCCTGTCAGCAGATTTGGCAACGTCCCCAGATTCTGAACACCACATCGGCTGACACGCACAACGTTTCCAGATTCTGAACGCTAAATCCGCTGACAGGCACAACGTTTTCAGATTCTGAACGTCAAATCCGCTGACAGGCACAACGTTTCGAGACATTGAACACCAAATCCGTTGAAAGGCATAGCGTTTCCACCCTCGCAACATCAAACTCGCTAAGAAACGCAACGTTTCCAAATTCTGAGCACTCATCCGCTGACAGGCGCAACGTTTCTTAGCGAATTTGGTGTTGCGAGGCTGGGAACGCTGTGCCTGTCAACGGATTTGCTGTTCAATGTGTCGATACGTTGTAATTGTCAGCGGATTTACTGTTCAGAATCTGGGAATATTGCGTCTGTCAACAAATTTGGTGTTGAGTGTTTGGAAACGGTTTGCGTGTCAGCGGATTTGGTGTTCAGAGTTTGGAAACGTTACGTTTCTTAGCGAATTTGGCGTTCCGAGGGCTGGAAACGCTGTGCCTGTCAACGGATTTGGTGTTCAGAGTTTGGAAACGTTTCTACTTGTCAGCGGATTTGATGTTCAGAATCCGGAACGTTGCGTGCGTTAGCGAATTTGGTGTTGCGACTCTGGAAACGTTCCGCGTGTCAACAGATTTGGCGTTCAGAATCTGGAAACGTTGCGCCTGTCAGCGGATGTGGTGTTCAGAATTTGGAAACGCTGCGTTTCGCGTTTCTTAGCGAGTTTGATGTTGCGAGGGTGGAAACGCTATGCCTTTCAACGGATTTGGTGTTCAATGTCTCGAAACGTTGTGCCTGTCAGCGGATTTGGCGTTCAGAATCTGAAAACGTTGTGCCTGTCAGCGGATGTGGTGTTCAGAATTTGGAAACGCTGCGTTTCTTAGGCTGGAAACGCTGTGCATGTCTGGAAACATTATGCCTGTCGGCGGATTTGGTGTTCAGAATCTGGGAAAATTGCGTCAGATTTGGTGTTGAGTATCTGGAAACATTGTTATACCTCGCAACAAATTTGGAGTTCAAAATCTGAAAACGCTGTGCATGTCAGCGGTTTTGGTGTATTGTATGGCCAATGGTGCAGGTGCCCATTTTGGTGTCTGCAAACGTGAGGCTCGTCAGCGAAACGCATACGTGAAACGCGTTGGCAACTGCCAGTTGTTCCTGGCAAAGTGGCATGCATACCAACGGACTTCGCACACATCCACGTAAGCAATGGGGCTGGTGGAGGGCCCAGCTTGCAAACGTTACGCTAGTCTGGGACCTGTTCGAACCCAGCAATGTGTTTGCCAACGCCCGGCACGTCAATAATTCAAGTACGCCTATTTTAAACTGCTACGTTGGTGCAAGTGCCCACTAATTTCTGCAAGCGCTGCGCCGGTAGATGCGTGTCATTTACATGTATGATCATTTATGTGAATCGGCACGATTGGGATCGCAAAATTTTGTGCACAGCTAGGTGGAACACCAAACCATCCACAGAAAAACGGCATATTTCATAGGGGTTTGGGGTGGTTTAGTGAGTTTAGGGTTTTGGGGTAGGGGGGTGTACATCACAAGCGACGAGAAAAACAACGTCACAAAAACGAGATAAACAGCGTCAAAAGCGAACGTTTCACCAGTTTTTGTTTGCAATATTGTTCTTATTACTTGGCACCTCTATCCTCCAGAATGTGCAGGGGACCACACGTCCGCAAAAATAATGAAAAATGCACATTCCCCGGAACACCAGCCAGTTGGTCATGATTGTTTTCAATATTTGTCCAGTTTTACTACCCACAATGCATGCATGAGGATGGAGAATAGGATGCAAACACCGAAGTCAAAGCAAACGTTTCACTCCTTTAGATTCCCATTCCGTTCAAACCTATCCAGTTGTTAAATTGTTCACGGGCCCGCGGAATCAGGGCAATATCACTGGGTAACTATGAAAACATGAATCACACTGGCATGCTGCCAGGGCAGGACTGTTGCGTGATGCACCATTGTGAAATGTAGTTTCCAAACTCACTTACACTGATTACAATAGCAAACTGACAAACTCATGGGTTCATGTTGGACATTATTCCCACTCACCGGTATCGATTTCCAATCACCAGATGTCCTGTGCCTGTATGTACAAAATCGCATGCATTGTTGTCCTATGGGCACAGTGGCCCCATCTTAACAGCATTTTATTCCAACTTGCCAACAAGAGATGGTTTCATCCATGCATTGGCACATACAGTCGCTGTTTATTAATACCAATGTTCCCAACATCGCTCTGCAACATATGTAGTTGTTAGCTTAATCAGAAAAATGGATCCTGCAATTTTTTATGTTTTTTTTGTAAGCGAAGGATTTCATGCCATGGTGAGTCCCAAGTGGGGTGGTGGTCCAACTTCGGTAGTAGCATCAAAACTGAAATGGCATCCATTAACATGACACAACATGACATAAAGTCTCTTATCTGTAAATCGCAAACCAAGCAGCGGCGGGATACCGTATTACCGACTCCAAAATCAACCAACTGACGCACTGACGCTCCAACGAAACACCATTGGCTATGATAGATACAACCATGTTTCCTGCCGAATTGTATGTTGAACGCACGCCTTCAGTTCCGATCAACCATTTTTTTTACCATTTGTGTTGTCTCCCAAGAAATTCCTTGAACCGATTTTAGACGTTTTTTTGCATTTTTATAAATATAATGTTCACATTTGCGAAACATCGAGTCTCGCATCTCATATGCGTGCACACCTTCAAAATCGCGGTAATATCAACCAAATTTCAGCCCAAAAATATTGACGTTCAAATGTGGTATCGACTACACGATGTTAAACCAGTATCATAGGTAAATAAAAATGTTGGGGTTGCGTACTCTGTGCAAGGATCTGTACACTGATCAAACCCGTCCGAATCTATCTCCAAAAACGATAAAACATGGTTTGAGAATTGTCGGATTTTGCGCCACAGACACGTTTCCACATTGACCTGTTTTCCATCGTGTCTCTCGGGGTTCAATGTCACGTCGAATTCTGTTTTGTCGGAGTCGAGTACAAACCGTGCCACAAAAGGATCTGTCAACTGTGGGTTTAGCTTTGGCACGATTCCACATGATCAGTGCATCAAACGCATTTTGAACTTGTGCCTGGTGGGGGGAATGAATCGGAAGGATTAAAGTGTATGATTTGGTGGTTTTGCATTCCTTCATGAAGGCATGCAGGTTTGTAAACATTATATAATATATTTGTATGGTTCGATTTTCCGGCACCGTAAGCCTTTGGTTTATCGGATAAACCAAAGTGAAACGAAAGGGATCGCATATGAACAAAACCTTCCAGAACCATGGTTCGAAGCAGCTACTGAACCGGCGGCTTTCCCATTTTTCCCAACACGCCGAAAGGATGTAACTGTTTGTCGAATGTTTGTCGACCTTCCTCATTCTGACATGGTCTTGGCACCCAAACGAAACGGGTCAAACATGGAAAAACAACATGTCAAAATAGTTGGATCGTGTCACCTATTGCATTCCTATCATTGAAAAATATGCGCGTGGCAGCATCCAAGGTTTGAATAATGGTTATTGATTTTTTTTTGAGGTAATTTATTCCCAAAAGCATTTGTTCGCAAAAAAATGTAAAGCCAACTGGTCTGGAATCACCTGTTCGAATGATTTGTACTGGGTTTTCCGGCCAAATTGGTTTGGGTCACTCAGCCAAGGCTTGGTGAACGCAGAACATGCCCAAAGCACGACATGACTATGCGGCATGATCTCCGTTTTGTTTGCCGTAGGTCCGTAGGTTAGGTTGCACACTGCAGAAGTGTTGTAACACACATTTTTCCAAGAGGTAATTGTGCAGCCGTGATCAGTTTGAAGCAGGATCAACATCAAATGGAAATCACTGGAATCACGAAACATATGAAATTGCCATTACATTGTTTGATAAGTCGACGAGGCGGGTTGATGCTTTGATTGCAGACCCAGGCCACAGGTGACGTAAAGAATTGGTTGGTTCTAATCAATGCACTTCCATCACACAAATCAAAAGGTTACTCAAACAATTTTTTCTTCCGGTGCTGTTGTTTGATCTGTTTCTGGATGCCATTTCTGCATCCTTTAAAGCAACACAAGTTTTATGATGTTGTGAGTGAAGTGTTTGAACCAGCGTTGGGGGGTTGATTGATTAAAACATCCATGAACAAGTACATGAAAAGGATTGAACCCAGTGACGTTCTATGGACCAATCCAAGAGTTGAAATAAAATTGGTATCAATCAAGATGTCCAAAAGAAATGGTATTTGCGGATGTTCCAAATGGATGCAATGGAACAAATACAAACCCTGCGTCCATCATCAACACAAAAAGGCATATTTGATTTTCCCAGAACGATAAAACGCCGTAGAATTATATACACTGATATTACTACAAATTTGTTTGCCCGTTGATTGGATCTTACCTGCTGTTCGATGCATAGAGTATGCCACAAACTTGCAAACGACACGCATATTTCATGATTTTATTGCCCAACAAACCATGGCATGTTTTGGCCCCGCTTGGCATCGCATACTTGCTGCAAACATCACATGGTAAAAAATTTGCCCCACCCCACTGATACTG